TGATGCCTAACACATGCAATTTTGGCCACTAAGTATTCAACTGTGGGATTTGGCAAGTCAATGACCTAACTTTCAATTTACTTAGTAAGCATGTATTGAGCACCACCTGCATGCATTGGACTGTGCTGATGCCTGAGGGGCAGTGGGTTACGTCGTCACATTGCTAAGTTGACCCATGTCTCCTGCTCACAGTCCTCAGGGAAGATATGATATTCAGAAACCCATCAGGAAAGGGGGAGAGGGAAGGAATCAGGAACAGGTAGTGGAGGTCTCATGACAGAGGTGTTCCCCCGGCTGAACCTCCGTAGCCAGAAAAGGAACAGCAATGGGAGCATTTGGCAATGCCTTAAAGCATCTTGATCTTTTATAAATATGTTCAACTGAATATCAAAAAATTCTCTAGTAACAGTCACTTAAGCAAGAGAGAAATTGTTTTCTTCTCTCATAAAACAAGTCTGGAGCTGGGTGGTTTGGAGACCACAGAGTAGTTTCAAGTTGTCAGGGACTCCGGCCTCTTCTGACCCTCCGTTCCAGCATTCTTAGTCCTTAACTCCCATTCTCGATGTCATCTGAATGTCACATTATAGCTGCTGCGATACATCTATGTGCTGGGCAGCATTAACAAGAGAGAACCCAAACTCCAAAATCGGGCTGCCTCTGTCTTTCCGGAAAACTCAACAATCCCCCACAGCCATTGGCCATTCTTACCTCCGAGTGAGAACCAGAAGGGTAGTCTCATGTCGGAACACGCTGTACACTTCACATCAGGTTGTTTGTAAGGAAAAGGGAGAGATTTGATAGATAAAGAACGTTCTCTGCCAGAGAGTGTAAAGTGAGCCCAGATGGCCAGTCCTCTTAACTCCACAGGGACTGCTCCACTCAGCTGGAGGGTCCTCTGCATGGGGTAGTTTAATCAAGTATGGGGGAGGGGGAGAATCGAATCAAAAAGAAATAAATCTATAGCAGAGATTTGACTATTTCAGCTTGGTATGAGATATCAAGGGATTAAAAATGATTCAAAATATAAAAGAAGAAATCTTCCTTTGCTCCTCCCCCTCCTCTCCCTCTCAACTTTACCCTGAGTTTGACAAATGCTGTGCGCAGAGTGATTCCTGTCTCAGCCCTCCCTCGTACTCCATGCTCCCGCCGTTCTCCAATGGGGAAGCCCCAACCTCACAACCCAGGGAACCTCTCCAGGGAACCCCAGGAGGGATCCCTTATCTGAAGGAGCACCCACCCCGTGTTGACATCCCAAAGCCTCAGCCATTTCATTTCCCACACCACACCTCCTTCGGTCCACTTCAAAGACATCACAGTTTGTGTTCAAAGACAATTCTCCATCGCAGGAAAAAATGTGCAAAGTCTTTTTGTATTGGATCTTCCTCATTGTCTGCAGAACATGTTCCCCCCTGTGACTTTCTCCACAGAACAATTTTATTAAAAGCAGAACAGATGTGGCTTTCTTCTCTTGAGTTCTTTCAAAATCTCTTGCATTTGCTAAGCCAGTGAAATTCTATGGCCGCCCTCCGGGCTGAGTTCTCAGGCCACTGAACCAACGCAGGCAGATTTGTGCTCTCAGGAGCTCAGCATTTAGACCTCAGCCAGGCGCCAGGAGAACACTCTGCTCCCATCTCCATCTGTACATGCTCTCCTGCTCCCCGGATGCCACACTGCTTCCAGTTTTCCACACGGTGTTCTCCCTTGTCCCAGTCAGCTCAGGTGTCCTCCCAAGCAGGGGACTTCCACACTTTTATAAAGTATGGAAACGCAGCCTCCCTGGATCTGTCCCTCCTGCTGCATTAGCTTCCCTCCTGACCCTTCTATGCCTCCTCAGTGGTCCGTTAGTCAGTTTAGTATCTATGACTACCTCCACTTGCCAGATTGCAAGG